CAGTGATTGTGGCGTATTCGTTGCTTCATTTGCGGTGTATATTGTTTCTAATGAGCCCATCAATGCTGACACCTTTGACGTTAATATCGAGCGGTTAAGGTTTTCATACCTATTGTACACACATGGAAAAATGAAGCAGGAAAAAGATTCCGAGAGTGATGATGATTCACATGGTCCGTTGCCGACAAATTATCGAAGTTTGCTAGCACTTCCCTATACTAATTAACATCTGAATTTGATGTTTAATGATGTTGGTTGACATTGTTGTTCTATCATTTATTTTTGTCAGACTATGTAGACAAACTAATCTATGTTGTTCCTCCTTTTGGGCATGGTGTTTTATGGAATATGTTGGACATGTTTTGGATGACTGTATGTTATCAGGTTTATTTCTTGGTGTTTTTATGTATGATATTACATTTTTCTCCAATTCTTATGTTCGTTCAAGGAATACTTGTAGTATTTATGTATTTTACTTATAGTATATTTTACTTAGTAACATATTTCTGTATTTTACTTGTAGTATTTTTCATGGCTACCATTGACTATCAGGTCCCAATATTTTTGGACTTGTGTAATTTTTGTTTTTATTTATGGAATTTCTAAACTAGAAAAGTGAGGGCTTGATGTTTTTGGGAATAATTTATTCAAAATGAGTTATTTTTGTTAACCATAGTTAATTTTAAAAAATGTGGTATGATTAGTTGTTAGTGGAATTTTAAGAATGTATTAAATAAAATAATTAAAATTAATTTGATGTAAAAGTAAGAGATAAATTATTGGAAATGATATGTAGTTAAAATTATGTGAGTGGATGAATAGTGAATTAAAGTTGATGTGATGTGTAAGAATGATTGGTTTGTATTATTTAATTATATGAATAATATTAAAGATAGTGAGGTTGAGTTAAAATTGAGATAAATTTTGAATTGAAATAAAAGTGAGTAAAATAATTTATAAACAATCAAGCCCCTGTTTTTCTGTTTTGGATCGTTTCAACAATTTCCTTTTCAGTAGCATCTCTTTTATTTGCAAAAGGCGCCCGCTAATTTCGGGAAGATTGGGTTCAATTGCATACATATTTCTTCCTTTTGTTGAAGATTCGTAATTTGGGTTATTAACTTTGTATGCAGCTACAAATTTGCGTTTAAATTTTAAATCTCGTTTAATTGGCATAAACTGTGAGATTTACACGTGGATGTGTATTTTCGCCAATTTTCGTTTGGCACTCGCCCATAAAAATACTCCAATATCCTGAAAATAAATCATAAATATATCATAGAACTTAAATCCATCTAATAAATAAATAAGTCAGAAAATATATAAGTGCGATAAAATGAAACATATAAACACACACTTTTTCCGACCAATCAAATCTCCCCAAACTTAAACCGTTGCTTGTCCCCAAGCAACTTAGAAATATAAACACATAGATGGATAAGAAAACAAATACGTGGAACTTTACTCAGGGCCTCACACTTCTCACATAGATGCATAGTTCAAACAACTCGAA